ACAGAAAGTAAAATAATGGTCGCTAATACCTAGATCAATGACACCACTTTGACTTATTTTATTTTCTTTGGTACAACCAACATGATCCAATAGAGAAGAACATGTAGGTGTAACGCGTGTTGCCTCTTTAATGAGTTGACTAAACCCATGAAGACTCAACAAGTCAATATATTTTTTAGCCAGTGGCGATTTGCGAAGAAGACAAATATTCATGTCTCCTAAAAGAATTATTTCGTCATCCTTCTTTAATGTATCAAGAATATTGGACAATTTCTCGATAAACAAATTGTTTTTCGGAGGTCGATACAGAACACCAACAACAATTGGTTTTGATCTTGGTATAAGCAAATTTATCCACAGGGATTCCGTATCTCCAGTACTTATAGCATCCATAATATTAAATGCAATATCATTTCTGATATAGAAACATACACCACCTCCAGAGCCAGAGGATCGATCATGGCGTATGATTTTATATCCTTCTATTTCAATTTCTTCATCATTTATGGAATTGTTTAACCATGTTTCAGTGAAAGCAATAATAGACAGCCTTTTTCTTTTAAAAAGAATTCTAAGTTCCGATATCTTGTTTAGAATAGACCTCACATTAAGGTGTAAAAAATGAAGACCTTTAACTTTAAACTTTTCTTCAAATTCTTGATAAAGAGAAGTGTTTTCATCTCTGAGGTTTGGCTGAATTACTCTTGCTATCGCTTGCTTTTCAGGTGTAACGCGCGTTATCTTAAAATAGTTTTCTTTTAGTCTATCCTCGTTTTGGCTTTCTTTCTCTAAACAATCGTCGTTAAATAATGAGTCACAAAAAGATGGCAGACAACATGTTAAACAATTCCACTTCTCATCAGGGCATTCATAATTAATGCTATTTAACTTTTAGGTGAATACAATTAATCAACCCAGCCCGACTCTTATATGGCTCTAGCGCCCCCTTTAGCCCAAATGAGCGTACTACTACAAAACATTCAGCCTTGTCCTTGTTTGTGATATGGAGCTTGTTATCATTTCTCAAGGGTGGTATACCAAAGTTTTCAGATCGACGCTGTTTTACATATATTTAAATGTTAGGTCTATGGTATAATCAAGTATGGACTCTATAGTCGGTCTCCACACTTGGCTCCCATTCTTTCATGTGCAGAGAACCTGAACATATAACAAAATAACAAATAACAAAAACCCACATCGAGTGCATAATCATTGCAGCCATAATCAAATGAAGGCCAACCAAGTGAAACTAACAAAAATGGCCAGTATAGACAGGTCGCCTTTCTAGACAGGTTCTACAACACACATTTCCTCCTAGAAGGCAGCAAAATAGGTGACCACTATAAAGTAGGCTTACATGTAGCCTTTATAGAGAGGTGGCCACTAAGACAGACTTGGCGACGACCACAGATCGACCCTGTTCCTTCTACTGGTGAAAGATCATTACGCGTCCATGACTCTTCAGCATGCAATCATAACTGGAAGCGTAATAATACACACAATATAATACACTACAATCTCCAAAAAAATACTGTACTTCCTTGTTCTAAAAATCTCAGAAATGGAGTCGTAACTTCATGAAAATTCGAGTTCAAGAAAATAATCCTTACCTTGAGAATATAAGAAAAGAAGCTACTGTATCTTCAAGTCCAAATCGTCACCTAAACTTGAGCAATCAGTCCTTTGTTGGACCCTGCTTGCATTCAACCAATTTCATCGTTGGCGGCAGCTTAGCAGCTTAGCTCGTGTCAAAGGTGGCATATATATATAGTGACGTCATATCGTCCTATTGACATTATAGTTATTGATATTGATCGACGTTTGGACCTAGATATACTGTAGGCGTATGGTTAAAGAGGGACAGAAGCGACGTAAGCCTATAAATAGAAGAACAACATTTCTTTACAAAATCATTGAAAAGGTAATTTTTTTAAATGGAAAAAATCAAATTCACTGCTTGCATTAAAAATAAATATGTAATAATAACGAGTTTTAGATATGTGCAACGAAGATGGACGATCCTCGGATCGACAGTAGATATCGACCAAAATCTTTTTCAACAGAGCGCCATCACACGATTGCTGCTACCTTGTTACTGAGATTCTCTATACAGTAGTTATGATTGGTCAATTAATGTATATAGTATGTACTTATTAATTCATGCATGACTGATCATAACCATTTGAATAAGTCTCTGTAAGAAATTTGCAAAAATGAGTTACCTGCCGATTTAAATGTTCATGAGGCATCGTACGGCTCGTCAACGATCTCGGGTGCAAATGATAAAGGTATTCATGCAGTCCCTGGACTGCAATTGACATCCAGAGCTCAACCCTCCTCATTATTTCCCATTTTTTAATTTTAATTGTTGAACAAGAATGTCTTGCAGATGCACACTTATGCCATTAACATTTGAATGGCTACTTGCTCTATTTTTGCAATTTTCTTAATCAGACCTTCTAACAATTAAAATAATTACCCATGTAAGCGTGAAAGTTGGAAACTTGATCTTAATCAATGTTGGTAGAGTATCAATTTTTCTTCATGTTCATGTTAGCATTTCTAATAACCGGCCATCTTTCTACATCAATGTGAGTCGATGGGATGAAGGGTAACTTATCAAATGGGAAGGATCATCGTCACCCATTAAATTAAAATTAAAAACTAATAGACTGATATGTTAGGACATAATTATATACAACCCTGAATACTTTACCTTCGAAACAGTAACTAAAAAATGAAATTGCTATTGCAATGGATGTCGGACTGCTCCCTGCTTTTATATGGATATTTTTTACTAGCGCCCTCACTTTAATGCATGGTATATCATAATATTGCTGCCATTCATTACAAAGCTGTCTGTGACTCGTACGCTATAGTAATGGAAGAATGCATTACGAAATGGGGATTCCCCTTCAATTGAAGTACGAACGTTTGACGGTATAACAATTTGAGGCTCATCCAATCAAGTTTATTGATCTAAACCCTGGGAAGTGGAAAAGAATGACAGGTTCTGAAGCCTTCACACAAACAGGCGCATTTCCGTGTGCCTATTGCACTGAGAATCTCATTGGAGCATGCATCTAGTTCAAAGATTTGATGAGATTTGAGATTTGAGAGATTTGAGAGCAGCCAATTTGTGTTTGCTCGATCACACTTTCGAAAATTCATAACTTTCTTATTTTTGATTCAAATGATTTTATTTCTCATGCAAAGCATAATACAATGAATAATTATATTACAAAAATATGCAATGAAACGACAAATATGATAGAAAAAGCACGAGAAAAGAGGAACTAACTAGAAGCAGAGCTTGTTGAAGTGTTAGTTCCTCAGATGCTGTTTTACAGTATTACATGAACAAAGTATGCTTAGAGATCAAGAACTAGAAAAATATGTAGCTAAGAAATTATAGATTTTTTTTTTGAGGGGGGGGGGATAAAAGAGAGGAAAAATGGAGGAAAATAGTAGAAGGTAAAATGAAAGAAAGATACAAAAATGGGAAAATGAATGATTGCAAAAGCTCTAGAAAAAGGAGGTTAGATCAGTAGAATGAGGGAGAAAGAGATTGAGTCGAGAGTCAAACGAACCGAGATTCATGTATATATGTTTAAAAGTTTAATCTTTAATACTGGTTCGGTGTAAATAATTGTTTTTTGTGCGAAAGCTGTTCTCCTCATTCGAGGAGTGTGGAAGTGTTTCGCCTGTCTTGTGAATATGAATGTATCTCGTTATTTGTTTGCTCAACCATTCACTGTCCTGTTTCTCTTATTTTTCTGCTTCCATTAAAACCAACTAAATATACCAGGGTGGGCTTCCGCTTTCAAATATTAGAGTACTATGGCAAGGGCTTACAGGTAAAGGCTCTTTACTCTAAGATGAGAGGTCCTGGGTTCGATCCTTACTAAGTGATTACATCATTGGACAAGGTATTTAGTCACATTTGTCCCTCTCGAACCAGTTGTATTAAATTGATACCTGGCTATGATGTGGTAATTATAATTACACGAACCCCAGGAAGGGCAAATTGATGCTATCCTGGTTGAATTAGAGGAATACACATAAACACTAATATATTTCCTTCCTGCACATTAATACTCATTCAAGTAGGCCTAGTAAAAGAAAAAGAAGATCAACAAAAGCATGGGTTTTCCCATGGGGAATTCACTCCCAAACCATCTTTGCTTCTTTCAAGAAGCAGCTATTGTTATCAAACAGATCTTTAAATTTACAGACTTTACACAACCCATGCACCCGCTATCCTCCATTGACTGGTGTTTTTTTAAAATATTTGTTTTGGTTGATTGTGACATTTAATGGTTTCGTTTTCGTTTTAGTAGTTGTACACATGCACCACCTCCCCCTAAATGCAATTCAATGCAATTCAAATGATTTTATTTCCACAACTCAATCAAAACATGAAAAAAGAAAACATGATGACATAAAAATGATTATCAAACGACATTTGCAATATAACGTAGACTATTAAACACTTAAAAGTCGATCAAAGCATTTAAAGACACAAAGGATATAGGTCGAATTTTAAAAGAAAAGGGGAAATATATTACAAAACAGAGCTTGTGTTTGTGTGGATGACTCAAATACGAAAACAAGAAAGGAAGAAAGGAAGAAAAAAGAAATAAAATACATAGATGCTCTGCTCGGAAGTATGATGGTCTAGTTTGTTGGGCATCCCCAACTGTTATTTCTCAGAAAACAGTTTTATTTAGGCTTACCCACCCCATATATTACACCGGCGACGAAATTCCCCATCAATGGGAGTGTGTTATGTGTGTGTGTTGTAAATAGTAACCTATCACAGCGGCTCGGGGAATCCCCGCTTTATATTCGATCTTTGATCCGTTCTCGCAAAGGAGAAGGACGAGTTTTACCATGATTAGATCAACAGATAGTTTATCAATCGCACATTCGCCACGATACGAGTGTATGAATTCATTGTATAAAGGGATGACAACTGCGTTGGCATTATTATTATCATTCCTAACCGCAAAGTCGAGAGGGTTACAAAACATTACTCATCAACGGCTAGCCTGGATGGAGAACCTAACACCCCTATCTCGTGATATGAGTCAGCGCGGGAGGAGAACAGATGCTGCCCTGGTATTCAGTTGGATCTTTGTTTGGATCTTTGTGCCAGCCCTCTTTGGTGGAGGTACATATCATAAAGCGATTTTATGCGTGTATGTGTATGTGTGTGTGTGTGATCCATAGATAAGATCATCCCCACAAAATTTCTTTGGAGAACGTTTGAAATGATGCCCCCCTCCCTTGCTTGAAATAGATAACTTAATATTTTGGCAAAATCGATTTACGTTTTTTGTTTAACAATAATAGATTCAAATTTTTATTTCAAGATAGTTGAAGATTGTTTAGAGTGTAGGATATAGGGGGAAAGGTCTAGTTAAGAACATAAAGGAGAGAATATAACAGTTTGGGGAAATGGTTAGCAAAAGATGAGGTCAAGAATAAGAAAATTATTTGGCAGGACAAACAATAAAACAAACAAAATCTCGGATGAGATGGGGTTAAAAAAAACGAAACGGCAGGCATGGAAGAAGACAGTAACCATCTAAAAGAGGTGGGAGCAGAGAAGGTAAGAGACAAGGAATCATTAGACGAGGTGGGTAAGACGATGTTAAAGACCGAAGAAGGAGATGATGTTAGATCATTTTACTCGCTGAGAGGCGGTTAAAATAATTAATAAAAGTGTGCTATCGTCTGGTCGATCCGAGACTAGTGTTTGTAAAAATGCGATAAAAGCCTTATACAGGGTTGTTGAAATTTTTGTTTTATTTATAGCACTTCGTCAACTCGGTTTATCCTTAACTCTCTCTCCCCCTCTCTCTCTCTCTCTTTCTTCAGCGTTTTCTCAGCCCCTCAACCAGACCTACGTTCTCCAGCCATGTCAGATAAACGAATCCCTTGTAATCGTGTCTGTCACGTGGGGGAAGGGGTCAGCATACCCAACAGATAAAACGGTGATCGCCGAAAGAAACCGCAAAGACAAGGATGAACCTACAAATGAACACTTTTCAGTAGACAAAGAGTACCAACTTGTCATCCAGAATACTACTCCGAACGACATGGGGATATACTGGTGTCAGGTAGGCCCTAATAGTATGGTTATATAACTTTTGTGGTCTAGTGGATAATTCTGTGAACTGTGAACTACATGTCACGGGGTTCGAATCCCTGCTGTAGCACTTATGTCTTTTGACAATACAATAATCTACATAATTTTATGATAGGCCACACTCGGCCCAGGTGAGGTATATGGGTACCGGGTGGGATTCATTCCTAGAATGCACTCAGCGTTATACGGTGGGAGCTAAAGCCAGGGTTATAATAATTATCGAAATATTTGGAAGCGCATGTAGAAGTATGTGATTTTATTTGCGCTGTTCAAGAACGTCATTATTATTATACCTCAGTCACACCGACAAACCAACTCCAAATTGATCGATTCTTTTCAATTTGAGGGATTTAAAACAAATCATTCTGTCCTTTGTCGGTCTGGTATTGGTTTTGCAGCTGTGAATGTAAGATAAAATACTGAATAATTAGTATTATGCCTGCACTGCATCTGAAAGAAACAGTCACGAAGTTTAATAGTTAATTGGTTAATGAATGTAAATTGTTACATGGTTAAATAAAATAAAAGTATCAATGGAATTTAAATGATTAAATAGTTATCAAATGTTAAATGGTTAATTAAAGGTAATACAAAGTTTTGGGAAATTTTTAAAATTGGGTGGATAGTGATTCTTTACAATTTTGATACATTTGGATGCCCCTGTGGATGTATCATAAGCACTAGAAAATTTAGCCCCTAAAACACTTCTGCTTTCGAGAAAAATTGAATATTAAAATTTACCGTTGATCCCGGTAAATGTTGATACATTTCAAATAGCGCCTAAGGCCGTTTAATGGTAGCTGCGACCATGAAAATCTCAGAATATGTAGTTGTGATATATAATATCCAAATGGAAATAGCTAATCGGTCGATTTTAGTCAAGAAACATTTTTTTGTATGTTAATTGATATCTTGACCTTGAGAGGGGGCTATACAACATAAAGAGTTATTATTTTTAATTTCATAACTTTAGACTCGATTTCAACCGCGACGACGATCACTGAATATTGGCGGATCGTACATGCTTCCAATATGTTCATTTGAACCAAATTCATGACCCCATACCAAAACTTTGTATTACCTTTAAAGTTGTATGATTAAATCGTTAATAACCGTTTCCAAGGATAATTGTTTTAGAATCATCAAAGTGAGGAACAGAAAATTGCCCATGTTTTCCTAAATTAATTTCAGGGTCCAAGTTTAAAACTACTATAAGTTATAAATTCTGTGGATCATAGCACTGCTTCTATGTTATTCTGCCACATAGAAATGAAAATAATAAGTAATCTCAAAATACAATATTGTACGCCGTTTCCAGCACTCAACCTTTTCCAAAAAATGATAACAAAAACAGCTTGATATTCAACTGATCATAGAATCGCTCATTTAGGACTTCTGTTAATTTTTGGACGAGTTGGCTTGCATAGTAAACTCATGTGCACAAAGCTCTTGCACTGTCAACATCATTGTTATTGTCTAGTCTACCTTAACAGTGTTACACAGTAAACGGCAGAAGCAACCAGGGTTTAAAGCATTATTAGGGGAACAATAAATTGTATGCGTCGACCGGAGTACATCTACACCGTATATATGTATGACGTAAACATCACTACCAACATCACTACCAACTCAACTCAGTAAAAGGGGGGAGTGTTTATTTTGTCAACTTGGGTATTCACACCATTCTCTACGAAGGCATTACGAAAATTACTATCGTGTGCATGCAAGGTAGTGCTTATGTTCATATGTGGTACAGATAGCAATATTACACGTAGGCCGTGGCTGTTATACTTTTTGTTGAAAGGTCAACTGATTTGGCTGTGGATACTCTTCCATTTCACGATGTCCTCATAGTCCCATAGTCTCAAAAGATCTGAGTAATTTGTTCAATCATATTGGGCTATAAAATGAGATAACCCATATTTGTTGAATATTACAAATTAGTGAGTGAAATGCATTACTAAATTGGGGAATATTTACCCAGTTTCGCCTAAATTTTACCCACCAAACATGCATGTTTCATTTCTACCCAAATTCGAATAAAATGTATTCAACTCTTTTTAGAGTCTAAGATAAATTTTGTTGATCACACCTCCCATAATATGCCATGGGTTTTTCATAGGACTCTGGATTGGTAGTCAACTATTTATCAACTTGTATGTGTTATCCTTAGTCATTTCATTCAATGTAGTAGATGTATTCTCACTGTCTTGACGAATTAATTACATCGAATAATTTCCCTGGCTATTTTCTAACAGGTGACACCAAGGGACATAACAGGTTACAGTTGCTCGAAGACCCTTGAAGTCGACGAGCCAGAGACGAGTAAGCCAGAGACGAGTAAGCCAGTGACGAGGAAGCCAGTGACGAGTAAGCCAGGTCCAATGGACCCGTTAATATCTCCATCATCGGCTGAACAAACATTCATCCAATGTCAAGGTAAATTTAGACCTAACTACAGTGCATCCCAGAAAAAACGAAACCGAGAATTGTCGATGTTTCATCATAACTTAGTCACATTTATAATTAATAAATGACACATATTTGGAAAGCTTAGATGCAACTTGATGCAACGCATAATGATGCATATTTAACGCATGAGTGCTAAAATTAATTTGAAGAGAGAAAACCGAAAATTATATGAGTTGCATCAAATGAAAGAGGAGGATCTAAGCTTTAAACATATGTGTCATTTATCAATTATAATTGTGATTCTCGGTTTCGTTTTTTCTGGGACGCCCTATAGAGTGCTTTTTTCTTCAAAAATGGCTTTCATTTCTAGACATTTTAAACTGTACTGACACGGTACTCTCTTCTCGAATGCAAAGAATATGATCACAAAATACTTTTTTTGTCAAGGAATCAACTCAAAGGCCAATTTGAACACCTTATCATATTACCTATACAGAATCATGTTCGGATTGTGTAACATGCTGTTATGATGTATGTATTTTTTCAAAAGGCCATGCACTGTGTTTTTGAAATCACCTTCAAATTGATTGTCCAGTCTTTTCAATCGTGTTTACTATCTTAATGCGAGTTATTGCAATGATTTAGAGGCCCCACTTCCAAAAAAAGACCGGGGCAGGTTTCATAAAAACGTGTTATTAATATCAAGTTACAATATCTATTTTAAATCCATATTGAATTCATGGTATCTGATTGGCTGAGAGCAAATTTGTCATAGAATTTTAAGCATCATTGATGACAAGTTTGAGAAAATAATAAGCCTACCCAGGGGGCGTTTCACAAAGCCTTTTTTCAATGACAAATGGCAAAAAGCAGTGAAAAATCCGCTGATAACCAATCAGAAGCAAGGATTTCAGTAGCTTATAACAAAAACTGTCAGTTGTCACTGATGACAAGTGTTATGAAACGCCCCCATGATCGGTAGCGAATCAAAGTGGTGTGAGACAAGTGGAATAATTGTATATGGAGAGGATCAGGGCCCTCTTTCATGAGACTTGTTATCAATAACGAATGCTACATTTCTATGACAAATTTGCTTTCAGCCAATCAGATGACATGATTTCAGTAGCTTATAACAGTTATTGTAACTTGTTATTGATAACGATTTTTATGAAACAGGGCCCTAATAATGCCCCTTTTTCGGCTGGAAAGTCGAAATGCAACAGGAAATGCAACTGGGGTCTACCTATATGACATAAAATGAAAATAGAATAAAACAAGATTCATAAAAAAAAAATAGCTGCATGCTACTGCACGTAACTTGAGCTGAATTATGTAAATACCAGTAAAATGTTACGTTTGGATACAAGGACAAGTAGGGATGACCTAAGAGGTATAAATATAGATATACACACCAACAATGATTTTTTTTTTAAATGAGAAGCAGAAATAAATTACGATGACAGGATTTGCATCATATTTGTTGGTCGTTTTTTATTCTCATGAGAACACATCATTGACCATAGCAATTTGTGTATTGTCCAGATGTGCTTCAAAACCACCATTTACAGTAATACAAATGTTTTTTATACTTATATTTTCCTTTCTCCAATTGCAGTTCTCAGGAACTTGTGCTTGCTGAGCGGAGTCCTTACAATTTGGCTGACGAACGTTGGGGGCGTGGGGTAGAGGTTTCTCAAGAAAATTCGAATGTATGACCTTTTCTTCTTATTTTTGTCATTTAAAAAAAAAAAAATTGTGCCTTATAGATGATTTAAAAAGAAAGACAAACCGTGCATGAATCTGTATTTCTACATGAAATTTAACCATAGTAGATTGTCCTATAGGGCGTTTATACTTGTACTCGGCAATATTTCCAACGATTGTGTGAATACATGATTAATTATTAATCTCAGAAGGGGTGTCACAAAGTGAATATCTAAAGTTTCCCAATACTGCATATATAAGAAAATAGCGAGATGAAAATGTGTTTCAATAATATACTTATAAATATTTCATATATTTATGTTCGTAATTTGGGCTTTGTTTGACGAGAAATTGTGTGGATGGCTGAAAATCGCTTCCTTCCGACAGAGGCAACACTGTGTGTGAAGAATATGCAGGGATTCTTCTATATGTATATGTTCTTAATACGTTAATGAAAAAGAAAACAAATCATTTTTGGAAATATAATGTTTTGACCAATAAGATCACTTAATACAAACAAATATGCGGGGATTCTTTTACTAAACACAACATTTACTATTAAGTAAAAATCCAACTTGATGTAAAATATTCTTCAATAACTGCAGAAAATTAAAGATAAACGGGCCAGAGAACCTTGATAAACCGAAAGGGAATTTAAAGAGTTTTTTAATTTTTACTGAATAATAATAGACAAATTGACAAAGTTGTGGTTTCCTATGCAAGTTACTCTCTGTTTTGTGCAAAAGATTTCAAAGGGGAAGAAAGTGTCTTCTCAATCATAATATCATAACCTAATTATTTTATTCTAGGCATGCTCTGATAAGTCATTTTGTATAAAATACTTCTTGACTGAAACCAAAGAAGAGGGATGCTTTATTTTGTATAAATGAATAGATAAAGAATTAAAATTAAGAGTTGCCCACAGAGAAAATCATAAAGATGTCAGTTCGAGCAATATGCAACGTAATAGAACTTCACTTTCTATTCTTTTTTAGGTTTTCCCAACTGTTGAAAAAGATATTTTCTCTTGTTTTCTACGATTTGTCAAATAATTTTGATGTCATAACTTCCCATTTTATATTGGTCATCATGTTTTTAAGACATTGGCTGGTCTCGAACACCAAAATAATATTGGAATTCTTGATGAATAATTTTGTTTGTTTAAATACCAAAATACAATTTGATTCGTGTTTTAATACTGGTTTCACCAACTAACCGATATGAGGATACAAAGTGAATAATTTATTTTAATGTATGACAATGGATGAAAATATTGTTTTGTTAATAC